ATATTCTTAATTTATTTGAGAGGCTTGAGTAGCTATTAATATATGGAGAGGCAGATGCAAGTGAGTATTTAGTGATTTGGTTGACCTGCTAAGGAAGGTTATCCCTGCGGATCGAATTCCCTCACGTACGCGTGAAAATCTGTTTGAGCAATGGCCTAATCTTATAAGTCTGCATTCCTCACATTCTTTACATTCCAGTTGATTATTATTATTGTTATTATTATTATTATTACTCTTATTATATTATATTATTATTGTTATTCTATTATAGCCTTGGCCACCCAAATACCTTCTTTCCAGTTTGAAATCTCTGTATACAAATTGAAGAAAAATATGAATCCAGTCTAGCACGACGTTATTGAGAGGAATGATCTCTGATTATCTTGTAACTTAGATGGACACTCAGCATGTGCTTCATTCACTGACTGCTAAAGTTGAACTTATGGTTTTGAATATTTGATCATTTCAGATATGATTTGATGACATTATGCTGGCAACATAGCCCCAAAGCAAGACCAACATTTCTCACTATCATTCACATGATAGAAGACAGCCTGTCCAATGAATTCAAGACCAAATCATTTTACTCCAATCTTTCTCGCGACCACTTACAGGAAATGTTAAAATTTAGGAGTTTTCATATCCCAAGACAACGAGCAGAAACCATCCAAACAGAGGCTGAATCAAGCGCATAGTTGCTGAATACTTCATTTTACAGGTTCATTCATTGAACACAAATAAAAGTTCCAAGTCAAGGTTGGAGTTGTCACGCATTTCAAAACTATGGTTTATCATGTATGGCAACTCCAACCTCAACTTGGAACTATTATTTGTGGTCCCTGAAAGGAACTGTAAAGAGGAGTATTGAATGATTTCAGAGAAGCCATATAAAACTGACCATTTCAATTGCATGTATTAGAGCATAATCAATTGATTTGTTCTATATCAACTGAGGAAACCCAACTGAGACAGTGCCCTCTGTTTGTGCTGTTTTACTGCAGCTACATTTGTCTTCATATGTATATGCTGAATTGTATCAAAGAATATTGAAATCATTTTGACTGAAGACAATCATCTGGGTTCCTTCCCTATGTAGGTGTGTACTCACAGAAATGCAATGAACRTTACCACTTGGGAGCGGGAGAGTACATTGATGAATGACCAATCAGGATTTATGAAGTTTGGCACACATGCATGTATATATAATTATGCTCGTTGTCCATTATTTTCATTGATATCACTCCTCATTTGAGTACTGAAATTAAGATCGTTTTGATTTCATCACCATTATATTTAGAATTTGTTAAAAAATATACATCATTGCGAAGGCTGAATGTTCACATGAAGTAATTGATCTCTTGATCCATGAATTATAAGAAATTGAGACATTCTCTTGTCTTTACATTACTGCATGTGAAACAAAACAAACAAACCCAATTAATGCAGGCTTACTTGTGCTCACCCGATTAGAAACATATTCATTTTTTCTTGCATTGATAACTCATAAACTTATTATATCCTATATACAGTAACGATCCATTCTTCTTCCCAGGAGCGATTATAATTATTTCCTTCTTTGCCAGGGTTTTATCGAAGTGTTAACATGTTTGGACAGCACAGAATGAGTAGGGGCTGGTGACTGTCACTAGAATTTACCAGTCAATAATGAGGGTATCATATTTTAAGATTGCATTATGGATTTGAAAGATTCCATGATTTGAATTGGAAGTTGTACATTTTAAAATTTAAGGTTGCTAAGCAATATCAAATCAATGTAATGCATTGTACATAGATTATAATACAACTCTAGAATAAAATAAATCTTGTTTATGTCAAATGATCATGTGATGTGTATTGCATTCTCGTGTAATAATAAAGAAATAGAAAATTATAAAGCACGCGGTGTTTTGCAAAACCTARGAGAAGTGTTAGATGAAGCACAACGCTCCGCTTTCGTTCTTGGGCTTCCTGTGTCGCAGGGGGAAAAAGCAGAGCAGCATAAAAGGAGAGGGTCCAGTGTCTGGACTACAACAACATAGAAAGCTCTATCCCCATATCCCTTAGTGATGGATTGAGGGATGATCGATATTAACTTGTGAGAGCTGGAACGCAATTGGCCACTTTAGAAACGAGCAAGAGATAATTAAAATCAAATAAAACTCCCACCGTGTGTGGTTGATATATTGAACAGCCCCATGGTTTAATTACAGGTCATTTCGTTCGGGTTTAGATGACGCGGCTTTTTTTTCTTATTTGATTTTAATTATTTTAAAGCGTAAAAATGGGGATTCAAAAATACCCATATGATACCCATATAATCTTTGTCTGTCTGTCTGTCTGTCTGTCTGTCTGTCTGTCTCTCGATCGATTTAGTTATTCAACACTAACGGTAAGCCTGGCCTACCTGTGAGGACACTGAAGATGATGATAATTCATGTGAGGGCACTGATGAGGATACTGAAAATTTGGATAGCGATGAAGAAACTGACATTGTTACTCATGAAATAGGAATTTATTACTGATAGTGAGGAAGACAATGAGAGAAAGAAGAAGCCGAAACAGTCAATGTTACAAAAAGTGGTAGACGTGTGCAACTTTTGGAATTTAGATTGAATACAGGTTAATCTGATCAGTGGATCCTTTTTTCAGGGGTGGGTCATCAGCAATTTTGCTTCTAAACTGGGGTTGGGTCATCACACATGGGCCATGAAGAAAAAACCACTGATTCTATTCTGATTTTGCACCCCCACGCCCCCTATACTTCGTATAACCAGTCCCTCTAGTGAGTCGTGGTTTGAGTGATCATGATGGTTTGAATTTTTTGCATGATTTGGCGTATCACCCTCTATTTCCCTTGGCCACTGTCCGTCTGTCTGTCCGCGTCGATTGGCCGAGGAAGATTGGTTACGAGTCAAAAGTCCCTGGGGAGGAAAGGACTAAGGAAAATATGCGCCGGAAATATTGTATTTCCCGTGCACCGAAACCGTCGATCATCCAGCATGCAGCCCAGAAATGCGCACAATTGCATGGCAGCCCGAGCAAACGCTCATAAGAGCACCTAGATAATTTTTGCTGGATTACTAAGTTTTATCAAAGGTAATTACTAGTAAGCACGCGACTTTTTGAGCTCGGTTTCGCATAGGTTTCGCAACTTGTAAATCAAAGTGTCATAAAAAGCAAATGTGGATAAACCGGTTTTTTGGAATGAAGTGAACCAGCCAATGAGAAGCTGAAATGAGGGTTAATCTCGTACGACTGGTTTTTAAACAATGGAAACGTGTTGGTCATGACCGACCAGTTAGCAAGTAGTTCTCCAGTGAGCAGCATACAACAGAGTGCTTCGTCTTCTCTCTTTGGTAAAACTCCTCTAACGAAATGCCTTCGGTAAGATTAAAACAACATTTTACTTCAATTGTAACTTTGCTTTAAAAAATTGACGCTTGATCATGACGTGTGAATTTGTATTTTTCTATGGTTTATTAGAAACGTGGTTTTCTTGAAAGACTTGATGCTGGCGAAGTTGTCATCGGAGATGGCGGCTTCGTGTTCGCGTTGGAGAAAAGAGGATACGTAAAAGCCGGCCCTTGGACACCAGAAGCAATAGTCGAGCATCCTGAAGCAGGTATAAAAGTGTTACTATCTACACGACAGTTCCTCGTATTGCTATTTTAGTGGGTTCGAACATAGTTAGTGAAGTGGAATGATTCCGCTCCATTAACTATGGTTCGAAACCATAAACATGGTAGGACTGCGCCTGTTGTAAGCAGGTATAGTGACCTTGATCAAAAGTGAAGTTTAGATTTTAGATAAAGAAGACACGTTTCGGTTTATTCTATGRTATTGACCCTGGATAACTTGGTGTATGTTGTATAATAATAGGAAAGGGTGGTCAAGCCACGTGGAGCATTGTGGGTTAAATGTTTCATGTTTCATTTGCGCTTGACCGTCGTTGTGTGAAGATCTCCTGGCGAGAAAGTATCATGAATGCTAAATCTGCCTCACCGGTTTGGTGTGGATTTTCTTGCTGTTGTGTTTCCTATATCTACAATACTATGTAGACTTTCAATTTCTACATATTTGTACGGTGAAGTCTCTGTCATTTATGTCGATAAAAAACTAGTTGGGGCCCACGATAGCTTCACTGACAACTCTCGTGAACGAAGGATTGCTTTGGGCAGTTCTTTATGAGAGAGATAAAAACTGCACATCTTCAAGCTTCTTCTGTAGGATTTTTAGGTTTTGTGAAGTCAAGGTAAAAAGTGTCAATACAATTGCTTTTTGAAACAATGTTCATTTTAAATTATAGTAAGTGATACTTAAAAAGCTATACTTATGAAGAAAAATGGAAGCTAATGCATTATGATGCAGAGTTCATCACTTTGATAAATTAGAAAGTGCATGTAAACAGATTGCATGAAAATTATTTAACACTCCTTTTTACAGTTCCATTCAGTGACCATGAATAATAGTCCCAAGCCAAGGCTGGAGTTTCCACACATGATAAACTGTAGTTTATCATGCACGGTAACTCCAGCCTCCGCTGGGAATCATTATTGCATGGTCACTGAATTGAACTGTAAAAAGGAGTATTGGCAGCTCAGCATCTTTTGATGTGTAGCGTCCGTAACAAAATTGTGTAACGTCCACAATGTTATTATTCTTCTGCAACTTTAAATCAAACAAATTCAATTTTTTTCCTAATTTGAAAACCCTATYCACTCACAAAAACATTTATGAAAAGTGTTAGGTAATTTTGATGTAATGTCTGTAACGCTGCTATTAACCTGTGTAGAAAATTTAAATATCAACATTGGAGTTTCATTTTTTTGTAGATTCTTTTATTGAGTCATCATAAACCTTTGGAATTGACTCATACATAACCTTTGGTTGCCTAAGTCTAATTTGTTAAAATAGGTGAGCCGTGACAGGTAAACTGGTGCACGTGTGCTACTCTAGGGAGCTCATCATAAAATATTTTTAAACAAACTCACAAAAACTGAAACAATATTTTGTGGAACATGCTTTTCCTTCGTATAATTTGACATTTTCGTATCTATTCATTTCTGTATTGAGTTGTTACTCTAGTAAACGCCTGTGCCCTTGTCATGCCTCACTGAATTCCTATGTGTTATCTAATCAAGCGCTATACTATCTCCTATTTCATTCTAACTACTTCATTGGTATATTATTTGCACTCTACTTGCTGCAAAATAATGCTAAGTAGTGGATATTTAATTTGATAATAAATATAATTATTATATTCAAATACGATTGATTGAGTATTAGAACATCAAGCATCCAAACATATGATGAAATCACATGCTGGGCGACTATAAGTTGACAAACCTTGAACCCATTTTTCTCTTCAAATATATCTCTTAAAACCATTCATTTCATTACCAACATTCATTTTTAATCATTTCTTGCCAAGCTGAGGTTCTAATCATTAGAACTTTTTTGTTTGGAACGATTATAAAGCGTTGTTGTTTTTGGTCAATGTTGAAGTCTAAAGTCGAATGTTTATGGATTTCGCACATCTCCTATAAGGTTATGATAAACTGATAAACTTTGCATTGTAAATTTGATAGTTTAGTTTCTATTATAGTTCTATGTCACAAACATGACAGTATTTTTTCCCTTATATTAAATATATTTCCACTGACTCAAACAGGGACTTTAATATTGAAGATCAGATTGACTGCTTTAACGCCACTGACTAGGGGTCTGTTTGTCATGTGCTGTTAGTTTGTGAGCGTACTTATTTTCATTTGACTGCCTTAAAACCCATCAATGCATATGAAATTAAAGGAAAATATTTGTAAAAGATACATCTTTTAGTGACTTCATTTAGAAAAARATCGTTCCACGATTTTTTGAATTCTGCTTTCATCTATATTTTTATCACTTTTGACAACAAATGGGGTCATTTAGCTTCATATCAAAAAGTCCATAACGTTTGAAAGAAAGTCACAATTTGATTCATACACAGTGTCTATATCCATACCTATATTCTAGCTACTAAAAATATTGAATCCACTAAATTAAAGTCCCGATTTTGAGGGTATAAAGTTGACACGATGGAAATATTAGTAAAAGTCCATGAAAATATTCATCGTGTAATACTTGGAAAACGCTCTCGTACATGTTTTTTCATATTGCAATATGTTGGGTSCCTTGATGAATACTATCGACTGGCGCAAGTCACTTTGAAAGTTTAGGTCTAGTTTTCAAGAAAATAAGTGGTAAATGATTCTTATGTCATCATTACGTCATAATGAAAAGGCCGCTTTAAGCTAATTTATAATTTTTGAAACCTTTGATCCTTCTTGACATTGTGTTAAAAGTGCCTGCAGATCAAGTTATTCAAGACGAAGTTGTAGCCGTTTCAATATCTATCCTTTTTTGACCTATTGTTTAATAGTTTGGGGTAACACTTACCCGTCTACAACTAAACCAATCACAATATTACAAAAAAAAGTATTACACATAATGTCTTTTTCCAAATATGATCAACAATCTTCTCCTCTTTTTCATCAGTTCCAATTAGTTAAGTTTCCTGATCTAATATATCTTCATAATGCTATTTTTATGTACCAATTTAAACATAATTGCTACCAGTAGCCTTTGATGATTACTTTCAATCTGTTTCTTCAAGACACACCTATAATACGAGATTAGCCTCGAGATCTTCTTTTTGTATTAATAAAGTCAGAACCAATTATGGTAAATTTAACATACGCTATGTCGGGGCTACACTATGGAATGATTTAGATGAAAATCTAAAATATTTATCAATCAAGCAGTTTAAGACCCACCTGAAAGCTAGTCTCATACAGACTTATAATCAATAACATATTATTATATTAAATTTATTCTCAAACTATTTAATACGCAAATCTTAATAATAACACTTTGTAGTCTGTCATAGTTATTAAGATATGTGTTCAAGTGATTTATAAAAGTGGTACCTTTGTTTTGTATCTTTGTWTTATTTATTTATTTTTCTATTATCTATAATACACTACCTTGTACTGTAAATTATGGCCAAACATGCATAGGTACTCAGCTAGATTAGCTCTGCTATTTCTGAGTATCTATTACCTATACTATCAGTTTAAAATCACTCAATGTAATCAATCTATTGAATTTCTTTAGGTAATAAAAATCTTGTTGTTGTTGTTGTTGTTGTTGTTAATACACTTTATCTTTGCCACAGTGACATTCTAGTGAAGGAAAAATTAGTAAAACTATTAAATTTGCTTTTATTTGACACAGTACGACAACTTCACCGAGAGTTTTTACGTGCTGGGGCTGATGTCATGCAGACCTTTACCTTCTATGCCAGTGAAGATAAGCTAGAAAACCGTGGCAATAAGGCTGCTAAGACTCATGGGGTATGTGAATGTACATTAACTGTTGGGGGAATTAGGTTGGATAATAAGAGAACTATGCAAATGTTCAATGTAGGGGGGCTTAAATTGAAAACAATCAGTTAATACTGAGTAGAAAGAAGTGTAAGGACTACAGCCCCTTTGGCCCATCACTTCCTAGTCCCATTTGTATGTCTACTATTTTACCATCATTATGAAGATGATGATTCTTTAAGACAAAAATTACTAGCAAATAGTTCAGCATGTGGAATAAAGCACTATGGTACAATCTTTTGGATGAATATAAAAATTACAAAATTCACTGTCAGGTTTCAGCAATCAATGAAGCTGCATGTGACATAGCTCGCGAAGTGGCAGATGAAGGTGACTGTCTTGTGGCTGGTGGAGTGTGCCAGACACCCACCTACCTTAGCGGTAAAGGCAAAGAAGCTTGTCAGGTTGAATTCAAGAAGCAGCTTGAAGTGTTCATGAAAAAAAATGTTGATTTTCTTATTGCTGAGGTATGTATAATCTATAGCAGTTTATTTTGTGCAGATGTACCATAATTATTATCACAGTTTCTCACTTTAATGGTGGGTGAAAAAGAGCAAGTACTAGTATACAACTTTGTGAGTCAGTTATGGTATTGTCTGTGCATTATTTTCTACTTAATCTAATTAATATGAAAGAGGCTTGGGAAGACTGGGTTAACAAACAATAATAATGTGCCTAAGGCCCCGTCCACACGTGTCCGCAAATTTTTGTGTCCGTATCTGCAAATTTTACGAAAACAGATACATGTGGACGGTGAAAACGATTCGAATACGCTGCATGTGGACGCAAACATTTTCGTATCCGCAAAAAATAATTTGCGGATACAAAATTTTCCAGATATGTGTGAACGGGGCCTAATGTGGCCCTTGAAAATAGCTTGTTAATGAACAATATTGTTAATGGCCACAAACACTATATTGTGAAATACTCTAAATATGAATGGCAGGTGAACTTTATGAAATGAGAAATCCTAGGAAATAAATAAATAGCAAAACAAAACTATTTGCAGAAATTACAATCCTATATGGAGAGCATACTTTTAAAACTCTCAACAGTGTGATATTTATTAAACCTTATTTTATCAATGTTTCTGCAAATAGATGTTATTTTTATTTCGTATTTATGATGATCGGTTTAGGATTTTGCATCAACAAAACTCTACTCCTACTACCATTTTGCTTTGCAAATTTTCTTATTTATTAAATTTGTATTCCCTTATGCGAATTGTAAGATAATTGGTGCTAATTAACTGAACAAAAGAAGGTGTGCAAGGGAGTCTGGTAGTAGAGGTCAATGACTTCATCATGCAAACGTCCTATTACTATCATTCTATTCAAATATTTTCTAATCCAGATTAAGCCAAAATGCAACAGAATGTGATTGATCAAAAGATGAGAGTATTAACAGTATACAACTATTTCAAAAAACATCGGTCTGAAATCTGAGACCAAATAACATGCTTCAAATTGTAATATATTCAGTTTCAAACAATATAGTTTCCTCTTTTGATTGGAATATAAGGCATGACCTTTAAGATAGAAATGTCATTTTTTGTATTTAAGTTGGCAGAAAACAAAAGCACAAATTCCTCTTCAATTTAGATTGGCCATTTTAGATCTCAGGCCAAACCTTTTTTTGAAATAGGTGTTTATGTGTCTAGAAACATTTTTCTTTAGTCTAATTTTAGACTTCAATATGAAGTTTTGTGTGATGTGATTGGTCAAGCAACAAGTGATTATGAAATGATATTCACTGCTTCAGAAGTGATTATGAGGTTTCCCAATTAAGTTTGCCAGACCTAAAGTAATACTACACTGTGAAATAAGTTAATTTGATAAAATCACACAGTGAATCACCATATAACATTATTTGGCTACTAACATACGTTAGCAATGAAACAAGTGAAGACTAATGGACATACAGTCAATTCAAAAAATGTTGTTGCCAACCGGCTCAAGCTTACGTGACTGGACCAAAAAGGAATATGGGTAGAAATCACCGAAGCGGTTAAATATTCTTTTTGAATTAATTGTTCCCGCTGGTAATAAGATAATAATGGCGAGAAACAATCTATTAGATGTATGTCTTTGGGTTAAGGGAAAGGAAAAAAAAGTAGTTATGATTCAGTTCACAATTTCGAAAATATGAAGGCATTAAAAAAACGTCTCCTCAACTTCCCACTTGCCTACGAAGGTTTGTGCTGTAAACCAGGCATAACTAGTCAGATAAAATTATGAAGTCAACTCGGCTTCAATAATTGCTACCCAGAGTTCCTTTCAGTCCTGTCGTGTAGGCTTGAGTTGGTCGATGACAACGTTTTTGAATTGACTGTATATATATATTGTATCATGTATTAGTATTATGAACATGTGGAGGAGGCAGAGTGGGCTGTTGAAGTCTGTAAGGCAACAGGAAAACCAACAGCTTGCAGTTTGTGTATTGGACCAGAGGGGGATATGCATGGTGTCTCAGCAGGCGACTGTGCAGTAAGATTGGTTAAAGCAGGTATAATTTGTTTTTACCGGGGAACATAAACCAAGAAACTACCATAATCTCCATTATGATCTTTCCAATAGCTTGTATACAGGCTTACCAAAAGATAAATTTATTGTGCAGTAACATATAATTAAAGGCCAGGGTATACAGTATTTGAATTAATTATTTTACTACTATTATCCTTGAAGTACAAACCGCAAAGTTTGCCGACTAGYATTTCAACGACCGTTGATCAAAGAACTGAAATTTTAAAAACTATAATTAGGGATATTTAAACTGAATTAAAGATTTTGACCCTCTGATCCTCTAAAATCTTTTTAAAGATCTCTCTTAAAAAATCTCTCAATATATTGTTTTTTAATTCATCTTTGATTGGTGGTCATCAAAACGCTAAGTTGTGAACAAGACTTTGTACTTAGCGGGTTGCATTTCAATGATATTAGTAGTAATGCCGTGACCTGAATGGGCTTGAGAGTTAACTCACAAGTTGCATTTTATGGCCAGGCATTTGGGTGATGAATCCCATCAAGACTAAAGGGTCTATCTATTTTAGTATGAACAGACCTGATAGACCTACCATCCCTGTCAATAATGTTTTGCTAGCCCCCAAAAATATTTTCATTTTTCAAGGGAATAACTTGGTAAGAAATTGGAGAAGAATAGTCCCAAGATAAAAAATGATTATTGCGCAATTCTAAAACTTATAATCATCACTAGCATTGTATGACTTTTACTAGTTTATGATGATTTTAATTCAACTGATAATTGCTGGGGTGCTCTTTTCTGGTTGTCTGCTTGCCCAGCAAATCAACTGTATGACTTAACACCAGGGTTGTTGTTAGTATTGGGTTCAACAGCACAAATGTGGGTGTGGGGTGGGATAAAAATGTGAATGGTAGGTGAGGAGTAAAGGGAAGAATATAACATTTCACTGTACTTTGCTCAATACATTCTCACTGCAAATGAAACCAGCTATTTACAATGTGTATTATGATGTTTACATTCTCATTTTTGTTATTGAATCCAAATAAATCAATATAACATCACACATCTTAAAATGTTACTAAACAAAGCTTGATTGTTCAAATGGCTTTGTCACTGGTCAAACCTTCTACATAGAAAGTCATTGAATAAGTTATATTCTCTTTCTGATTTCACATCAATTTGCAGGCGCAGATGTTGTTGGCGTTAATTGCCATTTTGGACCTATTAAATGCCTGGAGACAATGCGTCTGATGAAAGCAGCACTTGATGCTGCAGGTTTGAAATGCCATCTTATGATTCAGCCTCTTGGTTACCATACACCTGACTGTGGAAAGCAAGGATTCATTGATCTGCCCGAGTTTCCTTTTGGTGAGTTACTCACCAAATTAATTTTAAAGGACAGTTAATTGAGTGCTCTTTAATTATGACTGCAACATTTGAAAACCTTTCCTATCCCTCCTCCTCAGTCTAAGCTAGATGTTATTGTGATTGACAGGTCTTGAGCCTCGTATATGCACCAGGTGGGATATGCACAAGTATGCACGTGATGCATATGAAATTGGCATTCGCTTTATTGGTGGATGTTGTGGCTTTGAACCTTACCATATCCGGGCTATCAGTGAAGAGGTAAATGCTTACAGTATCTGGTACTGATGACATGATCATAATAAGACATAGCCTAAAACTGCTTTATATTACTTTTGTTGTCATCAGTTTGCCAAAGAAAGAAATAAGCTTCCAGTTGGCAGTGAAAAGCATGGAATGTGGGGAGATGGTCTAAAGCAACACACAAAACCCTGGGTTAGGGCAAGGTAAGAAAAGTTACATTCAGTTAATATACTATAATACTACTGCTAATCATAATCCTAATCAAGTGCACACCATACTGGTTCTTATGTGTATTATAACCTTTTTCCTCCTTGAATAGGGCTTGCCGTGAATACTGGGAGAACTTGAAGCCAGCTAGTGGTCGACCATACAGCAGTTCTATGTCTACCCCATCAGGATGGGGTGTAACAGCTGGTGATAAAATGCTGGAGCAGCATGCTGACACTACGACCGACACTGAAATGAATGAAGTGTTTGAAAAAGCTAAAACTCTTGAAAAAAGACCTGTATCTTAATGCTTAATTATTATTATTTTGATATAATAAAACATGGTATTGGGAACTTGAAATACTAATCTAGCAAATAAAGATAGGTTGATATCAACTATACTTGTCTGTGGTGCGTAATTTCTAGGAATCCTTCATTCCTGGCTGTAGTCCATTTTTAAAAACCATACCAGCCTTTAAAGTCTTAAAAATTTTTAATCAAACATGTTTCAAGAGCTCTTCCTCATCACTATTAGTAATGCTTGTGTCCTATATAAACACTAATCATCAACCTCAAGTTTGTGATTATTGACATGACTCCTTTTCATTGTTGATTTCTGCTATAAGATGAAGTAAATTATGAGTAAAATTATCAGTACTGATATATCTGAATGGGAGAAATAATGGATTCTCCGAGAGATCCACACCCACTTCTATAATTCTTATGCATACTAGTTTGCAATGTTCTATTTTTCTTCCTGACATGCAAAAAACCAACATTCATGAGAAATTTGAGAGGCTGTTACAACAAGAGGTTTTTAACTTTTAAAATTTAGTAAACTAACAGAGTTATAGTCTAGTAGAACCCTAATTCCATTGTTTTCTTTTGTGTCTATTTGAATATTACATAAAGTGCAAACAATCCATGAAACACTAATACAATAGAAAACAATGGAATTGTGCTATTTAGTATTACTAAAGTTTCATGGTTATAGACTATTGTTTGCACTCTAATAACTAGTGAAGAAATAGACACGTGCATGCATAACGTATGTGGTGTGGGCATAATACATTAATAAGACAAGTGTTGGACATGAAATGTAGTGGAGTGCTTTTACCATAGCAAGCAAGATTTTTATTATTTTTATATAACACAAATTAGACAAGCCATTATTTCAAACATGAATGACAAACAAAACTTGAACATGCAAGCTGTGTTTTCATGATGCATGTGCTTCCTACCAGAGTGCAATAATAAGTTATTTAATTTTTATTTCACAAGATAATAGAGTGCAACAATATAGAGTGACCACAGTAAATCCGTGAAACACTAATTACTAAATAGTACAAAATAGTGCTAGTTAAACAATAGAAACAATGGAATTTGCATGAAATTGTGCTATTTAGTATTACTAAAGTTTCACGGATTTACTGTGGTCACTAACCGTGAAACTTTAGTAATACTAATTAGCACAATTTCATGCAAATTCCATTGTTTTCTATTGTTTAATTAGCACTATTTTGTACTATWTAGTAATTAGTGTTTCACGGATTAGAGTGATTTTCATAAACCCATGAAATACACACCAGCTTAATACCATTTAGTAGACCCTCATTCCATTGTGTTCTTTTGTTGTCATTTCACTATTACACACTAACTAATGGTAATTGTTTCACGGGTTTATGAAAAGCACTCTAATTGTTTGCACTCTATTCTTCACAATAATCTTAGTTTTGAATAAAGGTTTTTAGCTATTTGGTAGGAGGTTAGAGACAACGTGGGGAGGGAAACGTTGCGTGACAGATACTGACAACTACTGCGTGTAGGAGGGGTTACCATTATATTGTCCCCATGAGCCATATCGGCCCCAGTTGATCAGCAATGAGTCGATAGCGTGACATACAGGTTTACTACTCGCAGGAAAAAATAATCTAACAGCTGTTAAAAGCAAATTTGATAGTTGTTTGGTATGAGTATTACAGTGAGGTTTAGTGTTGTTACGTTTATAGAACAGAATACTACAGTATTCGTGTTAGGTTCAATCAGTGAACTTGGGCGCTGGAAGCAAACAGACAAGGTAAACTTGAAGCAAAGTCCCATAACTTTCCGTCTTCAACCAGGACTTGAACCTTCATTTTGGTATCAAGATGTCAAAATATCGTTTGGAGACAAGCAAAGTTTAAATTTCGAGTACAAATTTGCAAGAAAGCAAGATGGCCATGCATTGGAGTGGGAAGGTGAAGGTCCAAGTCACAACCGCAAACACATATTGAGTTTGGAAGACCAGACGTCAAGTGAACTTCTTGTCAATGGAATCTATTATCTTCCTGTTGGGATTTGGATTGAGAAAGCTGGACAAGAGGATGAATTCCAGCATACTATTAGGTTTTTTAGCCATGTCCAACGAGAGCAAATTCTCCACACAAGTCAAATCATGGATAATATTTGGTTGGGTTCGTGTCCACAAAAGCGCTTACACATACTGGAACTGAAGACTCTTGGCATATCAGCTGTTATCAACCTACAAAGCACGGAGGATGTGCAAAGACTGTGCTCTAGATTCTATCCACATTTAGAAGATATTCCTCGTGCTTTGAAGGTAGTGTACAAAGAGGAAGGTCTAGCTTACATCTGGGTTCATGTCAAGGATCTTTGCTCTGAAGCACGGGTAGAAATGTTACCACAAGTGGTCTACTTGTTGCATGGGCTGTTGAAAGCAGGCCATAAGGTATATGTGCATTGTAATGGCGGTGTTGGAAGATCCGTTGCTGCTGTAGCAGGGTACCTCATGTATGTATTGAAATGGAGCCCAGCAAAGGTAGCATTTCATATGTGTTCCAAGAGACCTGTATCTTACATCGATGGAAGAGCACTATCTATAGCAGAAAAGGACTTCAAGCTAAAATTTGGTGAAGTCTCATAACTTTGATATCATTATGTTAATTAGGTAATAATTACCCAGAGAATAGGGCAACTAGAGGGGATTTAAAACAACTAATACTCCATTTTACAGTTCAGTTGTTGTGACCATGAATGATAGTTGCAAGTCGAGGCTGCAGTTTCCGCGCATAGCAAACCTATACTTTTTATCATGCGCAGAAACTCCAGCCTCGGCTTGGAACGGAACTGTAAAATGGAGTATTGCATGGTCGACTTATTCCAGGGACAGATTTAGGGTTAGGGTTAGTTTGGTTAGAGTTAGTTTGCTAGGGTGTTAGTTTGCTTTATCTAAAAAACAAAATTTGTTTTAAGCTTAAGAGAGCCCTAGATGTAATAGATTCAACAGTACATTGTTTTTGCATACTTTACCTTTCACTTTCATCCCTTATTGTATTACTGTCACTTGGGTTTAAGCATTAGATATGAAACATGAGAGGTTCTTGCTAGTTATGTCTTTCAGCAAATGTTTACTTTCAGAGCTGCTTTATAACAAAAAACTAATAACTTTTGGCTAAATTTTGCTGGTCAAAGTCTTGCCTTTGCTATTATAATATTGTTTAATTATAAACTTCGCCTTAACACAATTAGAAAGAGCAAATCCACAAAAAATGCTTTCCCAAAAACATTAAAAAGAATAACGAGAACTTATCAAAAGTAATACAGTGCTTTCAGGAATACCAAAATTAAGAAACTGTAAAGTAAAGCAGTACAAACTGCAAGGAATATATGTAAGAAAGATATATCATAACATCTAAAGTCAATCCATTGTAAAGGTAGAGTGTATGCCCTAATCTGTAAAACAAAGCCAAACTATGATGCAGATGTCTGATTGCAGCTATTTTATATGAATAGTGGATATCACTGCAGCAGAATTTTGGAAACCAAAGTAAAGACTCCTAAATGTTTTTGCTTGGTTCATGCCTAAGTTAATTTAACAATGTAGTTGATAACTAAATGCATAGYGTTTCATAGCTAGTAATTGTTTTACAGATATATGGCATGCATCCTATATGTTAGTCTTCTTAAACATTAGTCTTTAATCATAGATCATAGAATAGAGATAGGCTAATGAACAATTAGATCTACAGCCCAAATGGTTCCGAGTCCATGCCTATGGGGCTGAAGGTTGAATTGGCTATTGACTGTAGACGAGGATATAAACTTACTAATCAGTCAAAATGGATAAAACTAGAGAAAACTAGAGAACCTGAGAAAAAACCCCAAGGTATTAGTAACCCATGCCACCTGTGCTTCCCAGTAGACCATTAGTAGCTCAGCTAATCAGAGCACAACATTTCTGATAGACCACTAGTAGCTCAGCCAATCAGAGCACAGCATTTCTGATAGACCACTA